CCTCAGCCTCCCAGAGTGCTAGGATTATAGGTGTGAGCCACTGTGCCCGGCCGACACTTTAATATGTAACTTTTAAAAATACATTATGTCCAATATACAACAAAATGTACTGATGATACTTTGACCTCTTAAGTATTAATGTCCTATTATTAAAAATTAAAGCCTATTTATAAACATAGACAGAATACCTCAGAGAAAGAGAATCCTTGGACTGAGATGGAGAAAATCAGAGTTTGTGTTCGAAAACGTCCTCTGGGCATGAGGGAGGTACGTCGTGGAGAAATTAATATTATTACTGTAGAAGACAAAGAAACCCTACTTGTGCATGAGAAGAAAGAAGCAGTTGACCTCACACAATATATTCTTCAGGTATGATGTTTTCCTTTTGTGTCTGGAACTAATATTCAGTATGTCAATTCTTTGCTTTTTGTTTGAGTGGTAGCATTCGAGTTCTAAAATCCATTTTCTGATTTGGGTGTTGACATTTATTCCTGATGGGACATTTTGTTAAATCACTGGTACACCCTGGGCCTTAATTTTTAAAAAATATGGTGCAGTGGGGGATGCACAAACATAATTCTTCTACTCTTGTGCAATGGAGCTGTATCATATACTTAACACACTTTATGTGAATTTAATTATACATATTCAGCAAAAAAGGAGGGAATGAAGGGATAAAAAGAATTAAATAATGAAATGGTTGCTAACAGGACCAGTGACTGAACATATGCCCCAGAGTGACTGTGAGACGGTCATACAGTTGGTCTCCATTCTTGCTTGCATCTCACAGTAAGAACTTGTCACTCTGCTGAGTTTAATGATGAACAGTGTTTATTTGAGCAACAAGGCCCCAGATTGCCAGCCATCTGCTTATTTTGATTCTCAACAGTATTGGACTTATACTTAATTGGTGGAAATTAGGCTCTGAGCAGGCCACTTTGCACAGGGTAGATTGCATTGGGTAAATATAATACATGGATATGATTTCTAAGGGTTTAAATAAAACATTAGTGTCTCAGACATGTAAAGAATGTTTGCTACCTACTAGAATGACCATGAAGAGTCCAAGGTGAAAGGGTTTGGTATTAAAAGGAACTTATTCCAAGCAGAGAGGTACCCTTGCAATAACTCTTCTTTAGTCTTATAGGGAAGCAGCAAATTTCACAGATGAGAGAGAATCATAATTCAGGTACTCCTAAAATTGCAAGACAATCGTAAATAATCTAAAACGGGATAATCTATCAGATGTTAAGACAGGAATTCAGAGCTTCTCTTACTCTGAATCTGCCTCCCGAAACATTCATATTATATTCATTCTCTCTCTCTCTGCCTCTCTCCCTCTCCCTCACCCTCCTTCTCCCCCTCTTTCCTGCTCTCCTCTCCTTCTCCCCCTCTCCCTCTTTCCCCTTCCTTAAAACCCAATGATTGGTAGAGAGAAAAAAGTGGTAAGTATATGCTGGTATGCTAGCAATTCACCTTAGTCAGCTGAGATCTTACTTTACTGGAATAAATACTTTAATGCTATCTCCTGGTAGCTCTCCTGAAAAAAAATAAAATACTTTAATGCTAAAGTCAAATTGTTAACACTTTCCCCGTCTTTCAAACTTGCATCGTTCTTTCCTTTTTGGGTACCAAAATTGGGTTTCACAATGACATTCAAAGTTATCCACTGAGTCTTTCTATTGGTATTGAATTATTAATACTAGACCACTGTACAACCAACCCAATCACTTTAACAGCCTTATCGATTGGTGATCAATGCGCAGTCTATTAAGTCTCAGTGGGAGGTGTTTATTTTGAAGATGATCTAAATGACCAATTAGTTGTAATGCTATCCAGTTCCATGGCTACTTATAGCCATAGTAATAGCCCTGTCCAATCACCATCTACCCAAGACTTCCTTAATGATGCTTCTGTCACAGTAATTCCTTCAAGGAGCCAATACCTTATCTTTTTGCATTTTTCCATTATCCTAAAACACAATAACATTACTTTTTTGTCATTACCATTGGTCAATACTTATTGAATACCCGTAGTTTCCATGGCACTTTCTCTGCTATTTGAACTTTGGACCTTTGCTCTCATAGGTCAAAGTCCTTACCTGTCAATGCTATAATATAAAAATGTTGAGAGGACTCCCCCACTCCTTTTTCCTTCCTAAAAGAGAAAGAAGAAAAGGGAAGTTCATAGCAAATTGGCTGCTAAATAAATATTGATCCTAGATTCTTTGGGTTTTACTCTTAAATAGATTCAGGGATTAAAACAATATGTTCACAGGTCTGTTTATTAAATATCCTATCTTTTAAAATCTTGTTACTTAATAGGATCTATATATGTAGTATGCTATCCTACTTAACTGTTAAATTTTATGATATCAACATGAGTGAAAAAACAAGGAAACAAAACTATTTGTTTCATTCTAATTTCTTAAATAAAGAAAATATATAGAGAGAGAGAAAAAAAGATTGTACTGAAATACATCAACAAGTTAACAGTGTCTATTTCTGGGTAGCAAGATTTATAGATAATTTGATTTTCTTCTCTATTTTCTATTGTTTCTCTATTCTCTATATTTTGTTCTCTATTGTAATTTTTAAAATTTTCTAGAATCAGCTCTGTTACTTTTATATAAAAAAGTGAAAACTTTTTTTTTTGTTTGAAATAAAGTCTAACTTGGTCACCTGGGCTAGAATGCTGTGGTATCCGCCTAGCTCACGGCAACCTCAAACTCCTGGGCTCAAGTGATTCTCCTGCCTCAGCCTCCCAAGTAGCTGGGATTATAGGCGCACACCACCATGCCCAGCTAATTTTTCCTATTTTTAGTAGAGACAGGGTCTTACTCTTACTCAGGTTGGTCTCAAACTCCTGACCTCAAGCAATCCTCCCTCCTTGGCCTCCCAGAGTGCTAGAATCACAGGCTTGAGCCACTTTGCCCAGCCAAAAGTAAAAACTTTTGAATAGTATAGATTTACCTATTTCAAAATCAAATGGTACAAAGGGTATACAGTAAAAAGTATACCTCTAATCCCATTTTCTCCCTGAAGGCAACTGGTGTTACCTATTCTAAGTGTATCTTTCTAAAGATATTCTATAAATACATATTACTTTTATAATCTGAAAAAACTTGTTTAAAAAATAAACTATAGAACTCTGATCATATCAAGGCTAACACGAGGTTCAAAGTAGGTGTTACTCCGACCTCACTGATAACGTGATCAAATGAAAGTGCATGTGATGAAAGAACTTTATGCATTGTATGTGTGTTAACTATAATAATAACCTTGTATGTTTACACATCTTTCATGAAAAGTATTTATAAAAGTACTGGGAAAACTAACATCCAAATCCTATTGAAAGAAAACATAATAATTCCTTAATAAATGCTTTCTAAAGTGTTTACTCAAGAGCTAAAGTTATTCATGAGCTTTTATGGAAGGAGAGGAAGAATTACCATATGCTCTGTGAAATAAAAGAAAACTAAAAAATCATATTCCCACATTTGCTTCTTTTTTTTCTTATTTTCTTGAGAAATACCATATATATCCATATCTATAAGTATCTATAGACATGGGGGAGTTTTTGCTTTTGATCTCATACTTAAAACTATAAAAACTTGTGATATTTGAGCAACGAATTAATTGTCTCCTTGCTTAGAGACCAAGTATGAGTTAGGTATAAATAATGTTCATTGAAATCAGATTTTACAAATATATTTAACTCTTTATTATTGACCTTTTTAAGTTTAATCAAAACTGTAATGAACTCCCATGTATCTGTCACTCAGCTTCAATAGTTATTAACATTTTAGAATTCTTAAAATCTTATCACATTTTTCAAAGCAATAAAAGTTCACAGATCTCTTTATTATTCTGCACAAATTCATTATTTTCTTACCTGCTAACTTCTGGAGACTTTTTCTAACTTGTAAATTCAATTTTGTGGTCCCAGTTCTCAGATGATCTAACAAATTTCCATTCTGATGTAATGTAATGGTACACAAAATGAACCTGGGGTAGAGTGACCTACAATAATAAATTGTCCCAAGTCCAGTTTTCTGGATCTGTCCATACAATTTTTCCTTCACTAGATATTTAGAGCAGGCCCAAAAGGTAATCAAAGATAAGGCCTTATATCTCATTCAATTTGTGTATGGACTATCATTATGCTACAGTCAGGCTTGAAATTATTAGGATTTCTTACTCAGATGTGTAGTTGAGTTGCCAACATGGTAAGCCTGTAAATTATGGAAATAATTATGGCTGCTGAATTAATGTTTTCCAGACCCAATTCAATGGGGTCTCCCATCTCTCCTTTTCCAAATTACCATGATTTTTCATTTGGAAGTAATTTTGGACGTCTTTCCCTCCCCAGCTCCCCACATCCAGACAGTTGCAAAATTTCTTGTGTGTCCATATCTTTATTTCCATTGTCATCATCTAATTTAGATGCTTCTTATCTCACCACTGAATTATTTAATACTAGTGTCTCTGTTTCCAGTACATTCATAGTGTGAAGCCAGATTAATCTTCCCATAAAATGGCTGAGATCTTCCTTCTTGCTTGCAAATTTCTTTACTATCTCCCCACTGTTTACTCAATTAAATATTAGCATTCTGCCCCCTCCGTTAAGACTGGTGTCCTAAGACCCCTACAACATAGTCCTAACTCATTATTTTAGCATGCTATCTCACTTGTATACTTACCAAGCTCCTATATTTCAACCACATTGAATCCTTGCTATTCCCTAAACATTAATTAATTAAACAGTTAATTCTTCATACTTTCCTGCTTTTTGAATCTTTGTTCGTGCTTCCTCTGTGCCTGGAATACCTTGCCTCCCTCCATCTCCATCTCTCAAATTCCTCTTCTTCCCCCATGGTCCATTCTTAATACAATCTTTTTCATTATCTGAGAGAATATGTTTTTCCTTTGAAGTCCACATGTAGTTTAACTTTTAAGGTTCTTTTTCTTGCAGTCATTAACATCTTTAGGGGGTAGGGTAGGATAATGTCTGTATCTCTGAGCCCCTTCAAGTGCCTACTGCAATACAGATGCTACCAGCTGACTAATAAATGTTTATGGAGTGAAAAGTTAAACTATGTAAGCTGGGCACAGTGGACATGCCTGTAGTCCCGACTACTCTGGAGGCTGGGGCAGGAGGATCATTTGAGGCCAGGGGTTCAAGGCTACAGTGCACTATGATTGTACCTGTGAATAGCCACTGCACTCCAGCCTGACGGCATGGCAAGATCCAGTCTATTTAAAAAAAAAAAAAAAAAGTTAAGCTATGTAACCTATAGAATTGAGATCTTCCCCTAGAATTCCTCCAAAATGTCAAAGATGCTGGCTGAGCTGGGATGTGAGGATATTCCCCATAGAATTCAGTTACTGTCCTAGACCGAAGGAGGATTGGCTCACTCTTGTACTCATTGATTTACTTCCTTTAAGAGAGAACAAAAATTGTGTGCCTTAGTTTTTACATCGTAAGAACACGTCTACAGAGATCTCAAGTAAAACAAGGCCCTGTCATTTAATAAATGTTGATTGCTTATTTATTTCTAAGTGTGTCATCATCAGTTACTATTATTTAAAAATGTATTTAGGCCAGGCATTATGGCTCATGCCTGTAATCCTAGCACTCTGGGAAGCCGAGGTGGGAGGATCGCTTGAGGTCAGAAGTTTAAGACCATCCTGAGCAAGAGCGAGACCTCATCTGTACTGAAAAATAGAAAAAATTAACTGGGCAACTAAAAATAGAAAAAATTAGCTAGGCATGGTGACGCACGCCTGTAGTCCCAGCTACTCAGGAGGCTGAGGCAGGAGGAACACTTGAGCCCAGAAGTTTGAGGTTGCTGTGAGCTAAGTTGAGTGAGACTCTGTCTCAAAAAAAAAAAAGAAAAGAATAGAAAAAATGTATTTGGACCTTTATCATGTGTTAACTAGGATAGTGGTGAAGGAAATCCAGAATATGTCTCTTTCTATAAATCAAATTTATTTTTCAGCATGTTTTTTATTTTGATGAAGTCTTTGGTGAGGCGTGTACCAATCAGGATGTATACATGAAGACTACTCACCCACTCATTCAGCATATTTTCAATGGGTAAGATAATTGTTTGCTTCTCTTGCTTTTTATTTTCTATTTTCCATAAATCATATTTTTTAATAAATATCACTTAATGCTTTTCAGTTCTTTTGAATTAAATATGATTTTGTGTTTTGATCTAATGAATTTAAATTAGACTTCTGAAAACATGCGGTGTCTCTATAGGATTCACTAAGCATTCAGAAGTTTACAGCAAAATTTCTTTTTACACCAATGATATTGTTTCTTTGTGGTTAGTGGAAAAATATAAGCTGTCAACAATATAATTTCATCAAAGTCCTCAGAATAAAAACAGTTTAAGTGGTTGGAATTAGTCTGAACTTTGATAATAGGAATTATGTATTCTGGCTATAGTTCAGTTTTTTGTTAGAATAGGATAGATAAATGAATATCATTTACCAACTTCACTGATAAGTGAATATCAGATGTACTTTTATTTGAAATTATTATTTACAGTTAATAAACATTAAATCGGACAGAAAAGATAGGAGGGGCCTGTGTTGAATACATATTTAAAATATAGACATGTACAATTGAAAATGCCAAACAGCCTGCTAGCATTGCTGATTCCAGAGACTGTTGACTTTTTTTCAAATAACTTTCATAACTTAAAAAATTAAGGTGTAATTTACATACAGTAAGATGCACAGATCTTTAACATTCAGTTTGATGAGTTTTGATAGTTGTATATATATAAGTAACCAATAGCTGGAACAAGATATAAGACATTTCCATCACCCCAGAAAGTTCTCTTGTGTCCCTTTTTAGTTAATCCCCCAGGTTTTATGTAACCACTGACCTGCTTTCTGTTAGTATAGATTAGTTTTGCCTGTTCTAGAATGCCACAGAAATAGAATCATTATAACATATATTCTTTTATGCTTTCTATAATGTTTGGTTTCTTTTGCTTAGCATAATTTTTTTATATTAGTACATGTTGTTACATGTATCCATAGTTTTTCTTGCTGACTAATATTCCCTTCTATAAACATACCACAGTTTGTTTTTAACCGATCTAATGAGTGTGAAATCACATCTCATTGTGGTTTTAATTTGAATTTCCCTAATGCCTAATGATACTGAGCATCTTTTCATGGGCTTATTGGCCATTAGAATATCTTCATTTGCCCTTTTTTTGTGTTGTCTTTTTATTGCTGTTTTATAAAAGTTATTTAATTTTGAGGCCAGGTGCAGTGGCTAACGCCTGTAATCCTAGCACTCTGGGAGGCCAAGGCGGGAGTATCGTTTGAGCTCAGGAGTTCGAGACCAGCCTGAGCAAGAGCAAGACCCTGTCTCTACTAAAAAAAAAGAAAAAAATAGAAAAATTACCCAGGTGTCGTGGTGCATGCCTGTACTCCCAGCTACTCAGGAGGCTGAAGCAGGAGGATCACATGAGCCCAGGAGTTTGAGATTGCTGTGACCTAGGCTGACACTACGGCACTCTATTCAGGGCCACAGAGTGAGACTCTGTTTCAAAAAAAAAAAAAGTTATTTAATTTTTTATGAGCAATCTAAAAAATGAAATTTTTTTTTTTTGAGACAGTCTTGCTCTGTGGCCCTGAATAGAGTGCCATAGTGTCAGCCTGGCTCACAGCAACCTCAAACTCCTGGGCTCAAGCAATCCTTCTGCCTCTGCCTTCCAGGTAGCTGGGACTATGGGCACATGCCACTGTGCCTGGCTAATTTTTTCTATTTTTAGTTGTTTGGCTAATTTCTTTCTATTTACAGTAGAGATGGGGTCTCATTCTTGCTCAGGCTGGTCTCGAACTCCTGAGCTCAAGCAATCCTCCTGCCTCGGCCTCCCAGAGTGCTAGGATTACAGGCGTGAGCCACCGCGCCCAGCCAAAAATGAAATATTTTTTAGATTCAATTGCTTATGCACCAAATCTAGGGAGTGCTTTGTGACAAAGAAAGTTTCTAAAATAAGTTAGATTTTGAATAAAACTTTACTAATAGCAAATAAGAAAGTTACAAGTTAAGTTCATCATTCTTTAAATTGTAATAAAGTTTTTCGTGCCCATATTTGCTGCTTTTTTAAAAAAGCTCATCCCTAAAATGTTCAGAAGATAAAATAGATATTATTCTTTACTCTCACTCTGCTGAATCTTTTTTTTTTTTTCTTAAAGACAGGGTTTCGCCCTGTCACCCAGGCTGGAGTGCAGTGGCACCCTCATGCAATCATAGCTCACTGCAGTCTCAAATTCCTGGGCTCAAGCAGTCCTTCTGCCTTAGCCTCCCAATTTACTAGGACTACAGCCGCACAGCACCATGCCCAGCTAACTTTTTCTTATTTTTTTTAGTTAGAGACAGGGTCTCACTATGTTGCTCAGGCTGGTTCGAGCTCCTGACCTGTAGTTATCCTTCTGCCTCAGCCTCCCCAGTCACTGAGACTATAGGCGTCAGCCACTGTGCCCGACTGAGTCTTCTTTAGTGTGTTCAAATTTTTCTCCTGTAATTCTTTCCCTACCTGTGCCCCTGTCAGTGTACTTACACCACTGCTAGGACCAAGGATTCAAAAGTCAAGGAGTAACTGGTCTGTGCTCTAAACAGCTTAAATCCGATCAGCTCCCATCTCTTGATTCTCACACTTCCATGGTTCCTTTGCTTTTGTCATTTTACTTTTTCTTTGTTTACTATCTGGCTTCAGGTCCCTTTCTGTGTACTCATCTCTCTGCCTACCCCTAGCTTCCCCTTACCCCGGTCCATTAACCCATATGATTCATGTTCAAGAGTCTGCAACAGCTACTTACTACCTAACATTATTCTCTGCTTAGCAATGCATAGTTTAGTCCCACAATACTCCAGTAATCTTAGCCTCCAACTCCTTCTAAAACATACTGTGATTGACAGGCTGACCTCCCAACTCCCTTCTCTACCTCTTATTCTACAGTTCTTCACACTTACACAGGGTGTGTGCACACACTTGTACCTACATGCAAGAATAGTGATTCTCACTTAGAATCATAGGATATCGGGACTGGAAGGTATCTTAGAATCCAAGTAACACATTAATTTACAGACAAAAGTAAAAATTGAGGCCCACAGAAAAGTGAAGTGACTTGCCTAAGGTCATATAGTTAGTTAATGGCATGGCAGAGACCAGAACCCAGGTTTTTTCCCTCAAGATCTGTTGTGTGTGCCACCACTCCTACTGCTATGGCCTCTGCTCACACTATTCCTACTCCACAGTGGAGGCTCAGTCTAATTCCCTACTCTTAAGAGTCCTTCCTCAAATACTTTGCTTACATTGATTTCACCCTTGTCTAAACTTCCTTAGTCACTACCATTCTGTTTATCATGTGATCTATTATTTATTGTATTTATTTTAATTTATTATTTCTTTCACCAAATTTATCTCTGGTGATAAATTAAGACTAAATCATCTCTGGGATCCTCTAAAGCACCTAGCATGGAGTAGGAACCCAGTAAATGCTTATTGGCCAAGTAGTTTCTTTTTTTGTTTTTTTTTTGAGACAGAGTCTCACTCTTTTGCCTGGGCTAGAGTGCCGTGGCGTCATCCTAGCTCACAGCAACCTCAGATTCCTGGGCTCAAGTGATCCTTCTGCCTCAGCCTCCCGAGTAGCTGGGACTACAGGCATGCGCCACCATGCCCGGCTCTAATTTTTTCTGTGTATTTTTAGTTGTCCAGCTAATTTCTTTCTATTTTTAGTAGAGATGGGGTCTCGCTCTTGCTCAGGCTGGTCTCAAACTCCTGAGCTCAAACGGATCCTCCCGCCTCGGCCTCCCAGAGTGCTAGGATTACAGGTGTGAGCCACTGCGCCCGGCCCTCAAGTAGTTTCTTAAAAGTTCTTTTTTCCTTATCTTCCAGAGTTGTCTCATGTAATCTTACCAGTTCTGTAAAAAATTTCTGTAAGAAAACTCATGCACTGGTTTGAGAATGTTATTTCCTCTTCCCATATTTTTATAGTGTAAAGTCCTCCTCTCCTTAAAGGGTTGTATGTTTATAGCTGAATTTTGTCAAGGATTCTATGTTTCTACCTGACTTTTGTCATTAAAAATTTATGTGTGGATTAGCACTTCTCTTAGTATGTGTAAGTAATACAAATTATTCTTTCCCCAGAGGCAATGCCACTTGCTTTGCATATGGACAGACAGGTGCTGGAAAGACCTACACCATGATAGGAACTCATCAGAACCCAGGACTGTATGCTCTGGCTGCCAAAGATATCTTTAAGCAACTAGAAGTATCCCAGCCAAGAAGGCACCTCTTTGTCTGGATCAGCTTCTATGAAATCTACTGTGGACAGCTTTATGACCTCCTAAATAGAAGAAAAAGGTACTAAATATGAGTGGGAAGCATAAATCTGTTCATTGCTGTTTCCAGCCAGAGTCCCAAAGAATCACTGCATCATGCATGCACTTTAATGAGAAGTGTACATTAGTGCACTTTTGTGAAATGAGAGTCTCCTACATTTGATACATATTTTTTAAATGGTATATTCAGCTACAGAAAAATGTAAATTAGCTTTCCATTAATATTTTTTAAAGTGATCAATATCCTAATGTCTATCAAAAGACTTTCTCTTTTATTTTGGTCTATGGATAAAGTCATTTCAGGAAGTTAGGAAATCAACATGTACTTAAATCCCTTCCTATTCTTTTGACCTATTATTATACAGGAAGAGCTATAATGTTTCCCACTTTTCTCTTGTTTTTCCTCTCAATAATCTTAGAGTAAACTCAATGATAGTTTTCTGAAATCAGTAAAAAGAAAATAAAATCTTTTTTCTTCACATTAGACTTTTTCACTCTCATTAGGCTTAAACTATTGCCCTTACAACATAACACAGTAATTTAGAAATGCATTCAGTAACTCTACTTTTAAACCTCCATTATATTTTTCTGGCATAAAATTTTGTTCAGGATGAAACAGATGACTTACATTGAGTAGGAGGCAATGAAGTTATGAAGGGATTGACTGGGAGAATAGGGAGGTGAGAGGGAGTAGAGGAGGTAGAAGGGTTAAAAGTTGTCATAGCAGGCCGGGCGCGGTGGCTCACGCCTGTAATCCTAGCACTCTGGGAGGCCGAGGC